GGGGGGGGGGGGGCAGGGATGTGTGAGGTGTACACTTCTATTCTCAAATGTGAGGTTAGGTTGAACACCCAGGGCTGAGTTCCTTACCTTCTAACTACAGAGAAGTGCAAAGCTGGAGCCCAGCAGTGTGCAAACAAAAGGAGGGAATCCATGTGGCTGCTCACCACAGAAAACCTCCATCCTGCTTTGCAAAGAAGGCAGGAAGGAAAAGCCCGCTGAGGAGGGACGTGCCAGGGCGACCTGTGCCAGTGTGTCTCAGCAGTTGCTCCCGGCACTCGCAGTGTTTGTGAGGCGGCATGATAGGAGACAGATTTGCAGTGGGTGGAGGAAGGGTTTAACAGGCGAGGAACAGATTCAGCCATTTGGGATGCTTTCCTGGGCTTTGTTTATCTAGCTCGGCGCTATTTCATTAGCTGTCAATTTCATTCACCAGGGCAGAGATGGAGGAAAATGACTGCTCTTTTTCAACAAACCCTGGGAAAGCGACACCAGGAAGAACCCCCACAACATTCTGGCTTTGCCTCACCCCAGCTATCAGCTACATGACAGCTGTGCGTTCTAACAATGACTGGATGGAGAGACAGTGATGGAAAGGGCCAACCTGTGACACAGGGAGAGGCGGCAGCAAGATTCGCTGGGAGGTAACAGGAGAGAAGTGAGGTCAGAAAACACAAGTTAGTCCTGGGAACGTGAGGAAGGAAGGGGGAGAAAAGAAAGCAAAGGTTACATACAGAAAAATAAAGGGAAATTCCGAACAGATGTTCCCAAAGCAGCAGTTTGCTATCTTGCCCTGGATGGGAAGCCACACAATCGTGCCCTGACATTTTTATTTCACTGGTACAGACTCAGAAGCAAGTGGAATAAACTAAATTATCTCAGGGTGGAATGTACACATTAACAAAATTTAAACATCAGGATCACAGATGAAAAAAGGAGGTGAGATTACTAACCTAGCCTATTTATTGTCTAAGGAAAGGTGTCTTTGCATCTAGGTAAATGGGAAAACTAAAAAATCAACTCTTTATGATCATTTCTAGAGTGTGGTTTTATTACCTATGACCAAATTCACGCAAATACATTAAAAAGAAGAAAGAAAGGAAAGGAGGGCCTACAGGCTATGCAAAGGAAACAGAAGGCCAAAGCTTGACTTCAACAAAACCTGCATAACTTTAACAAATCCCCTTAAAATAACACCTTATTATTATTATTTTAAAAATATATCTTTATTGATTTCAGAGAGAGGAAGGGAGAGGGAGAGAGAGAGAAACATCAATGATGAGAGTCACTGATTGGCTGCCTCCTGCACGCCCCCTACTGGGGATCGAGCCCACAGCCTGGGCATGTGCCCTGATGGAATTGAACTCCGATCTCCTGGATCATAGGTTGATGCTCAACTGCTGAGTCACGCCTGGCTGGGTAAAATTATAAAATTTTTGGTGAGTATCTAGCAGAAACCATTCTGATGAAGATGTATGAATGGGTTTAGCTGTAGGAACAGAGTAGAGAAATGGGTAGTATTGGAACTAAGACCATGGACAACGACACCCAAGAAGAGAGGTCCGGGGCTGGGTGCTGACAGCTCTGGGGCTCCTCTGTACGGTTTAAACAAGGGCCCTTTCCCCCAGGAAAGTAGCCTGAATTCCACTCTACCCCTCGGGCCCATGTCCTGTCCAGTGAGCACCAAGCTCATTGCATATGGTGGCCCTAGTTGGGGCCACTGAGAGGTGGAATTGATCTTAGCTGGCTGATGTCTCAACACAGGCAAAAAGTCTGAGAAATAATCCAGGATTTTAAACTGCATTTATTATTAAATTTTACGCTAGACTGCCTGCCTATCACATCACATGAATCAATTTGCCCAAGATGTGGGTGAAGCAAAGATTAAGATTCTTGTCTTCCCCTGGTCTTCTGGTCTCCTCTTACCTTCTCAAAACTAAACCCCAAAAAGAGCAAACACTGACCTATCTTTTTTTCCAAGTTAGAAGAAAAACAGATTCAACCCTGTGAAGATATATTATGATTTTATGGCTAGTTCTAGCGGTCCTACTAAATAGCCTCATTAAAGACGGCAACTCATCACTGGAAACTGTATATACAGGAGCCCCCTTATCCACGGCTTTGTTTTCTGTGGGTTTTAGTTACCCGTGGTCAACCGTGGTTCGAAATAATGAAAGCTCCATAAACAAACAATTGACAAATTTTAAGTTGTGCGCCATTCTGAGTAGCCTGTTGAAATTGCCCTCTATCCCACTTTGTTCCTCCCCAGATGTGAGTCATCCCTTCGTGCACTGTCTACATGCTGCAGACCAGAGACAGGGAACATCTGGCTGGCAGGCCATATACAGCCAGCGAAATCATCTGGTCTGGCCCTGCCAAAGCAACTGCAGGAGGCACTCAAATTCAGTAAGTTCAATTAAATGTTTGACAAAATATAGCAGGCTAATTTTTAAGTTGATAATTTTGTATGGCCCATGAATATCCAAATGGCCCTTGGCAGAAAAAAGGTTCCCCATCCCCGATTTAGGTATTAGGAAAAGTCCTGTTGATCCAACTCAAAAAGGAGGAGGGAGTTTTCCTTTGAGAAATACAGCGTTTTACATACAACTTTCCAATGTTTAGGCAGATGATGCCTCAGAAACCTCTCAATGCCCAAAACTGCCTGCGGCGTTCTGAAACAGAGCAGTCACGGCTTTAAAAATGTCAACAGCAAGTAAGCCCAGGTTTTATTACAATTACCATGAGGACAAATATTTCTGAAAGAAAGGTAACATCAAAATGCCTTAATCAAAATGTGTTAAAATTATGGCTCTATCCAAAATATGGATGATTCTTAGAAACATAATATTTAGTCAAAACAGCAACTGCAGAAGCCCATGTGCAGCATGGTATGAACCAGATGCCCTTACTTGCCCAGAACCTCTCCCTGGTTTATACCTGTTGTCCTACTGCAATTACCAACAGCAGCCCTTACATGCTCAGGAGTGTCTCAGCTTAGATGGTAAGTTACAGTGTCATTCTAAATACATACAATTCTATAAAGCTCAAAACTAAAGAGAACTAATGATATGTACTCTATAAAAGTTTGTAATAAAATTCTTTAAAATCCTCCCAAACCAAAAAGAAGGAATGAAAACTATTTGGAGAACATCTGAGGCACAGGAGATGCGCAGGGCTGCAGAAAATGCCGGGCACGCAGGTAGATGCCCCACCACGGTGACACTGCACTTCTGAACCTGGACGGTGGGCTCCTGAGCACTCGTCTGACAGTCATGTTTCACAACCAGCACGTTACATACGTGCATATGTAAGTTCATCCTATGTAAAACATCCCATAATAAAGGTTAAAAAAAAAGGTGTAGCCCTGGCCGGTGGCTCACTGGTTGGAGCATCGTCCTGTCCACCAAAAGGTGGAGGGTTCGATTCCCAGTCCGGGCGCACACCCAGGTTACAGGTCCTGCCCTGGTGGGGCATACGGGAAGCAGCTGATTGATGTCTCTCTCTCCCCCTCCCTTTCTCTCTCTCTCAAATCAGTAAAATACACCCTCAGGTGAGGATTAAAAAAATAATAATAAAATAAAAGTAAAACATGTAAAATGGTAAAAAAAAAAAGGGGGGAGGGGACTACCATCCATGCTTTCAAGATAACAAACTATCAACAAATTCATCGGCAATCCAATATAACTTCTGATAGGTTAGTAGGGAGTGCTTTCCGGCAGCTGCCTATGTTTTGTTAGCAAAATTTAACCAGGAAAAAATGACATCTAGTCGGCTGGTCAAGGAGAGCCTGCTGCTTATGGGCCTGCGGGAATGAAGGTCAGCCTGAGAAACACCGACAGGGATGAGGCAAATGACAGACAAACAGAGAAACACGCCGCAGCACCCAACACAGGAGGCAGGAGACCCAGAGGCAGTGTGACCACTGAGACAGCCCAGTCAAGAGTTCCCTGGGACACAGGCTTCTTACATCAACATCAGAAGGTAATGTTTCTATCAGGAATGAGGTGCTGAGTTGTGCTGCAAATTAAGATACTGATAGTACAGATAGTAAATGTACTTTAGAAAATAACTGCCATGGTATAAATTCATAGAACCCTAAAAACTAAGGCCAATACTCATCAGCAATCTCACCTTAGTGGCACTTCTCAGCAGAGATCTTATTTAACGAATCAGTACAAAACATACGCTAAGAGAAAATACTCAACTTTCTGGTGTAAGTTTAGGTAAATGTGCAAAAGGAAGATTTCAGAGTGATTAGTGACTTGATTAATGGGGCATTTGCATTCATTAGTTGAGTATCTTTAGGAACTGGGACTCTTGCATGCTTTGGTGATAATTCATAGTTATGCTCCTAATACATGGTCCCATCACCAGATTTTTAAATAGCAAAAAAAAAGATAATGGAATGTATATTGCTATTGATGAACACTAGTTCTGAATTTACTTTGAAGTAAAATAATAATTACTTAGAAAGTGAATACCTGGAATACTTGCAGGAGAAATTGGGCCTGATCGTGACTGGTTGCTTCCTACAGGAGAGCCAACGGGAGAAGGTGATGGGCCCCCCGGGATGCTGGAGAGATGAGGGGATGCGTGAGGAGAGAAAGGTGACTGGGCCGGGTTGCTCTGATCCCCTTGGCTGCTTGTGGACCCGGAGGCACTGACTGCAGAGCTCAAGGTTGCTTCTGTTCCTGTGGGGAGGTCATCAATGGAGCCAGACAGGTCCTGCGAAAGAAAGGAGAAACAGCATGTGTTTATAGAGGACCACACATATTTGGACCAATACCCGATCAAAACCATTTGAAAATCATAACATCCCCTTCAGCAGTAAGTTTTTCTAGATAACACTAAAAATCCAGGGCATGGACTCTTGTTACTAGAAAGTTTTAATGAGGGCTCTCGTAAGTTGAACCCTATGATCTGATCTAAGAAGTAAACAAAGTTGTCTCCATGAAACCATCGCACAGCTTTGTTTTAAGCTGTCAGCCCCTAGTCCAACAACCCATTCGAAGAGCCACAGGAAACAGCAGTAGGCGACGACTTGCCATCTGAATGGAATACCTGACTCTTAAATGACCATGTCCCTGACTGAAAACTATAGGCTCTGGATCCTCTTTAGAAGTCAACAGTGGAGGATGGTTTGAATTTTCAAATGTAATAGCAGTCAAAATTTTAACCAATCCTTGCGAAAAATTACCAAATTTTAAGTAAAGGCATCAATGACATTATAACAAATTAGTGATATGTGCATTTTTTACGATACTGTGAAAATAAATCCCTCTGGAATTATGCTGGTAGAAATAATTCCTAATGGTATGCCTTCAATAACAATTTTAAGCTAAACACAATTTTTAATGCCATCTAATTTTTTCACAACATCCTCTAAAGCAGTTATTAAAATTCCCATTTTACAGATACAGAAACTAAAGCTTGGAGAGTTAGTTACTGTTGCAGGTCACACTACTGAGGACAGATGGCATCTGCTGAAGACGATGGAGGGAGGCTGAGGGAGGAGGAAGGAGGAAAGTCCCCACACTCATCAGAAGTGGAGGCAGGGGCCTCCGCGGCGCCACCAGCAGCTCAGCAAGGCAGGGTGGGCCTGCGCGATGAGTGGCCTTCGTGTCACCGAGTCGGCAGCCCCGTGGAGGCCGAGAGTCAGTCAGTGTGAAAGAGGTTGGCCTTGATAACCTAGGACTAAATACTGCAGCATGGAGTCAGAAATACCACGGTCTACAAAGCAGCCTCCACAGCCGCGGCCTCTTCCTTAGGGGAATGAGGTGATTCGGGCCCAGCTTACTGCACGTGACGCGGCGTTCGGGGACCCAGTGTACAGGTGACCCAGTGTATGGCAGGAACTGTTCGAGCCCCCACAAGATGGGGCTGATCCAACACCCACATCCACCTGGGAAAGCACTGGGTGGGAGCCAGAGAGAGCTGTACGCTCTCTGAAGGCATCAAAATAGCCCAGGGAGCCCCGCGGAGGGTGGGTGGTGGGCCCCTCGCAGGATATGCTCCAATATCTAACAAACGTGTATCACCAAGAAACAGGCTCAATCAGAGAAAAATCATTTGGGGGGAATATGCTTCTTTAGAGAGAAAACACTGGTTGATAACTACATATAAAACCATTCTCTCCCATTATACTACATATGGAATTAAACATAGAAAAGACTTAATTAAAAAAATCATCAGATTCAATTTTTCAAGAAATCATTACTTGAAGTTAAATAATTTTATGCAAATCTTTTTTCATAAAAAAACAAATTGTTACTTTGAAATTTTTAAAACTCTCTGCACGCACTATAAATGCCTTCCTTGTCTTCCCTTAAAACTCCACGCTATGGCTGAAGAAGTGACTCAGGTGGGTGTTGAGAGCGTCATTCAAGCCACAAAGGCATGGAAAGCATTTCTGCCATTCAACAAGCCGATTGAGGAAACACCGAGAGAAACATAGAAAAGGTGCTTTCCTGGTGTTCATGTGTCGCCAGGATTTCAGTGCTGACTCCACTCAGTGCAACAGAGGAGCAGTGAAAAGACATAATTTCTATATTACTGTTACTCACACGCGTAACTTTTATACGTAGATTATAGAGAACTGTTCCCGCCCTGCAGGCACTTAGGGTATCCATACGTATAGCTATTTTACAACACGTTACTAACGAAGTTCAGCAGTGGTTTAAACATCCAGCCTAGTTAACAAAGGAGCTCTGTAACTAATGCTCCTCGGGAGGACAATTGAGTCAGCAGGGCACCGGCTCCATTCTTTTATAAGTACCGTCAGATCTATGGTGCCTGGAAGAACAGAGACCTCGCTGCATCTCATTCTAACCAAGGCACCTTCAAGCTACGCTGCTTCCATTTATCTTGCTGGAAAGCTGGCAGGTACGGTAATTGCAGGGAGGACTCTTTTAAGGGGCTGGAGCCCCCCAGCTTTCCTTACATCCTTCCTCTTCAGTGACGGAGTGATGGGGGAGGCAAAGACTCCATGGGCTCACACACAGTAAATTCAGTCTTTTACCATGACAATTTGATTTGGCAAAATCTTGCTAATAAGTTAGGTTTTCAATATCTGAAATCATTCAGAATACAAAATCCTTTCCAGCACACCAAAAATAATATATAACTCCTACTACTAATGGTACATTTATTTTTAGAAAAAAATCCATGCCTTAAAAAAAGGTTTTACTCTAAAATTTATTTTAAATCAAAGTTTTCTGCAAAGTCTTTTCTCTGTAACCATCATTCCTCCACCCTCTGCCCATGTAAAATTTTCATTCTAACCCAAGTGACAAGAGATTTCACTGGGCTTAGAATGAAATGTCACTGGGAGTAATAACAATCCTATCAGACTCTGACAAAAGAAACTTATGAATTAACACGGAGCACAAATATACATGTCTCTGATTCAATACAGTGGGGCAGGGTGGGGGAGGGCAGGGACACAGGAAGGTGTATGGAGTATGCCCCAAGAAGGAGCACAGGAAGAATTTTTAGAGATCTACCTATATATAAAATAGACATACGACATTCGGTCTAGATATTCTCTCATATCTACATATTGTCTATGATCCTCCCTTAAAATTTTACATGAATACATTATTGACTTACTACCTCAAAGACACCTTTGGTTTTGATAGTATTCAATTTATCTAATAAGTTAGCTTATTAAAGCATAAAATCAGTCACCGCTGGGGATGTCTTACTGTCCTAAAGAACTGGGAATAAGTTAGAAAATTTTACTCCCTTGCTTAATAAGTGGGTTTTTAAAAAAGCAAATCAACTTCAAAATATGCTGAGCTGTGGTACAGTCACTGGAAGAACGGCGAAGCCTTGCACACACCTGGGCATCTGCTCAGGGGTGTCCCGAGAGCACGAGGGTAAACACTGAATTAGAAACAGAGACACTGCAGCCAATGAGGCCAGTTCAGGTCTCCTGTTTAAGGGTTTTAATAGGATACAGTTAATGATTTCTCTTGTGACTTCCCACGGGTTTGAAGCACAGTTCAGTGGTCTTTAGAAAAGTCTCTCGGTCGTCTTCAGAAGCAGAAATAGCATCTCTTCTTCTCAGAATACTAAGTATGAAATTCAGGCGTGGAGTTTTCTTTTTCTCTCTCCAAGTAGGCCCCAACTTTCTGACAGGCAATGACCTGTTGTGCCAGGTATGGCACTAAAGAGAGGATAGATCTGACTGGTCACTGATGAATATCACTGGATTTATAAGCTTTACAGTAAAGTACAGCTGTGAACACTATACTAGTAAGCCAGCACATGTAAATATTTCTAAATATTTACCACAAATGCTGAAAACTAATGACTTTGCTATTAAAATTTAGCAATGAATTCTCAGCCCTCTGTTTCCAATTACCATCCCAGAGGCCAAACATCCAGTAAATATATCTTTATTGACTTCAGAGAGAAGAGGGGAGAGGGAGAGA